CCCCCCGCTACTCGGAATAGTAGATATTAACGAACTGAATTCTTATCTAAACTATTGTAGCTATCGACGAAAATCTCGAATCTGGGAAAGAAGAAGAAAAGGAAATCTATCTGGGCGATGAACGGTCTTTATCGACATTTGTGTGGTGCGGCTTAAGCCCTTGTTTGTCCGTATTGTTTGTATGCCATCGTTTGATATGTTGGCGCTGTTTGTCTGGCGTTGAGCCGTCACACTTGTTGAGCTTCAGATTGAGGAGAAGCTTCTCACAATCACAGCTAATAATGCATCAAATAATGAAACACTGGCATCTAAGCTGTATTTCAACATGTTGGGAAAGTACAACTCAGAGGATTCCAATGTACCCAATAAAGGACGTTTCCGATTTCAAGGTATTGATAGCTATATCTGTCACGGAGCTCAGCCAGGATAATGGAACATCAACTCATGTGCTCTACCTAAGTAGCTATCAACGAGAATAATCAACATGAGGAAAGAAGAAGAAGAATGATGTGCCATCAGCGTTGACGAGACTTATATCCTTTGCTTCCAGCACGTGAGAGGTATACACGTGACCAGAACGGAGCAATCACTACTGGAGCAACCAATGTCAAAAGTTCATCAACTTCATCAGGACAATAAGCGGCAAAGCCTGGAGGCTTGTGTCCTACAGAAAATGCAACCACAAGTGATCCAGTGTTCAGATATTGACTGCTACTTCAAGGAAGGTGTGGTGATGACTGATGACTGATGGTTGATGAATCTGTAACAAAGAATGAAGATTGGTTATTTGGTTGGTGGAGGACGCACAAGGATGAATACCCATGGATGGCAGCTGCAGCCAGGGACTATCCTGCCATCCCAGCAGCTGAAGTCTCAGTAGAGAGATTGTTTAGCTGTGGTAGGGATCTATTAGGGCTACATCAACATTCTCTGAAAGGTGAGATGATGCGGAAGATGATGCTGTTGAGAGATGTGTCACGGAGCATGGACGCTAGCGAGCTGCACAGCATGTTTGATTATTTTGGCCTGTTTGGTGTAGAACATTCACTGAGCATCGCTTAAACCCCGAGCGCACACTAGATAGCTCGTCGCCGGCAGGCCTGCCTCTTTCCTTTCTTTCCTCATGTTAGAATTTCGTCAGATAGTCTACCAATAGATTCATATTGCTCGAGACCGTCACAAGATGTATATAGTTTAGAGAACACCAAGTGATAACTCCTAGAGCATCTTGCTGGCATTCCCCAACAAGCTGCTGCTTTGATTCAATGAATTGAGTAATAAAAACCTCAGCAGATCATATTGTTCATTAGGCACAGAACATTAAGTGAAGTCTCATCACTCCAGCTATAACTGATCACCATTACCATGTGACTAAAATTACGAATATTCATAACGAATATGAATATATTCGTTATTCGTGCCGACCCCTACACTCATTCTACCATCTACGGTGTCTATAGATATCAATGTCACCCTCTGTGTAATTCAAGTTTCTCTTCCTATATAGTCTCGTGCAGTCCGGACAATCGGCTCCCCAGCTTCCCCAACTCGGAATTCAATCGCTTCATTGGTTTATCCGTTTCATGTCAGCCCGCCCTTGGCGGCCTAAGGCACTGGACTGTGAGCGGTCCTCACAACTGGCGAGGCAAACGCCGCCAGCTGGGCAAGCAAACAAACAAAGCACTGGCGCTGCCGCACAACCCATAGATATATCCCCCTTATCCTGTATATAGGTTCCTCTTCTTTTTTTCCTCTCCAGATTCGATATTCTCATCGATGGCAACCTAGTTTAGATAGGAATATCATTTCATCAGTACCTACTAGTCCGAGCCGTGACACTAACCATCTCATTGTTAAATGGGGTATATTTTGTAGGAAATAGATAAACAAGACGCATGGTAACATACACCCAGTATTAACAAGTACGGGATTACATATTTGACGAGGCCAACACAAGTCAATAGACATTAGGCAGTGAGAATAAAAAGAGTGAGTCTCAACAGGGAATTCACAGGCAATATCCAAAGCTGGAAACCTAAAGTGCAGAAGAAACTATATCAACCCAGTTCATATCGGACGATGGAGTCCGCCGGAACTTCCACTGGCATTTGACCCTTTGCCGGGCTAGCTTCGAGTTCTTGTGGATGCAGCTGGAGGGTGTTGTGATGTCCCATCGATCTGATCTTCGCATTGGAATTGGCAGCTTCCGCGCCCGCGCGTCTGCGGCGGATGATAAGGAACCAAGCAACCGCACCTATCAGAATCACACCAGCAGCGCCGCATCCAAGTCCTATTCCGGCCTTGGCTCCAGTTGAGAGGCCGCTGTCAGCGGCAGCAGTGTCGGAAGTCTTTGAGTTGGAAGAATTGGTGCTTGTTGAATCGGCACCTCCAGGAAGTGGATTCCAATACCCGTTCCAGGTGTCTTCCCACTTGCTGGTTGAGGCCGAAAGCTTGTTATCTGCCAGTCCAATATCGGTTACTTCTTTCTCGGAGGCTCCCGGGCCGGCAGCCTGGCCAAGGTACCAGATGCCGTTGCCATTACCATTCCCAAAACTTTCACCCACAAATGCGGCCTGAAGAAAAGCTCTCCCAAGACTGTAGGATGAATTGACTGGGTAGCAGGGGAAATAAAGGGTTGGTTCTTGTACAAGTGGTGCTTCCAATGTGAGGTTCAAAAGGGCGAATGGGACTTTAATGGTGGTGTTCCCATTCTCAGCCATGTCTTTTACGAATGTAAAGGAGAGATAGGCGGCAGACGACGTGATGTTGGTGTAAATCTCATCCTTAGTGTCCCAGAAGTACAAGCCCAGACTGCTGTTGAAAGTGACCGGGAGCTCTGCTGTAATTGCATCGCAGGCGCTCTTTGGAAGGTATAGATAAGGTGTTTGGGGGCTAACTTCCACTGTGATTGGAAGATCCATACTGCTGTTGGACTGCGATAAGAGGCCATCCTTCTGATCATAGGCCCAGGGCGATCCTCCAGTCGCAACACCGAGGCCAATATCCGTCATTTCAATCACAAGATTACCCCCGGGATTTGCTCCAGTCGGAGTAAATGACTGTGTAGACACTTCCCCAACAAGGCGACTTTTATCATAGCCACCAAGGAAGACAGAGCCCTTGAGTCCAAGGGCTGCAGAGCCAATATGCATGCCATAGGAGTATGACGGGGTCTTCCTCGCTCCTCCAGCGCTGTACATGTAACTTGAAATAAATGTCATTGTGACATCCCATTCATGAAGCAATGCTGGTGCCCCCATGGACAATATCCCAACTGTGACAGGAGCAACCAACCCTCCCGGGAATGTCTGGTAAGCACCATAGAGCGCGACCATACTGGCATTTGGAACAGTGGTGCCATATCCGATGTTCATTGTGTCGTAGAAAGCGCCCCACCTATACAGCGACGGTGCAGAGGCATAACCATATTCATCCCAGCTCCCTGGCTCGGTAATGTTTGTGGCTTTTGACAATTTGCTCATGTCGATGAGACTGGAGGAATCCGAATCGCAGGAAACGGTCAGATTTTCATTATCGCAGATGTCAGTCGACATAATGTAGGTAGACCAGCGACCGCCAGGGTACAGTGGGACACTTTGTGCAGCACCTACACCGATGCTAACAGTGACTGCCTGCCATGGGCCATCTGGGCCATAGCTTTCGTCGGACCATGAGAGTTCAAAGGGAGAGTCGGCTCGAACAGTGCTTGTGGCTGCTAACAACCAACAGAGCAGTAATGTAAAGGGCTCGGTGAGGCCCATTGCACAAAGACAAAGCGAATGAAAACGGAGAAATAAAACCCAGGACAGTGAAAGAGGGATAGAAAAGGAAGGAATCGGGTCGGAATGCGCTCCCAAAAAAGAGGAATCGTAAACTGGAGCATGCGAAAGCAAAGTAAAGAGGAACTTGCGATGGAGAGAACAGCGGATGCTATGTTAGAAAAGGCATCAGGTAATCATCGATTACAGTAAAATTCCAGTTAAACGACTAGCCAGGTCGAGTACAAGCACCGGTGCGGACGTATTTGATGACTATTACAGTACAAGTAAATAAGTACTCCGTAAAGTGGATTTGTCACTGGCGGTATCGGTAAGGGTTTCTTCTGTAATCAATCCTGCATAGAATATAATGATAGTCAATGGTTAGCCTGTGATGTTTTCCCAACCAGAAAATGAGCAATGCACACAGAGCACGAGTTATGAGCCGCAAAACCGCCCCACAGACTCTTTTTAATGCTGATATTCCAACTGTCGCTGTAGCCGATCCGCGCCGCAATGCATATGTTAGTGCGGTTGTCTCAATGTTTTTTTTTTTTTTTTTTTTTTTTTTTTTTTTTTTTTTTTTTTTCTTTTTTTTTTTTTTTTTTTTTTTTTTTTTTTTTTTTTTTTTTTTTTGTCTCCGCAGTAATTTGCGGACGGATACTGCCGGCGGCAAGCCCGTGGAACCAGTAACCCTAATTCAGACTAGTTATTCGAAATTACACCTTGCCGCTCGGGACCAGGAAAATACCGTTGTCCAATGCGTAATACCGTGTAAAGCTCGGTGTAAATTAGTATTGGATACTTCTCTGATTTCAGATTGCTCCTGTCACTGTTGTCTTCCATGGTCTTATTTCATGGTAATATGTGAATACACTGGGAATTTAGGAATTTCAAAAAGATTTACATCAATACGACTGTCGCAGTATCATTTACGTGTGTTTTATGCGGAGTACATGCACTGCACTAGCGTGAGACGCTGAAGTAGCTTGTATGCCCGATAACTAAACGAGACACCACACGCTCGCTTTTCACTTGAGAACCTAACCTGTATATAGGGTGAAATGTCCATTTACAAGTCTAAAGCAGTTATTATATAAGAAAATGCTATGTACTAAAGAATGATATGGTCATTTATGGTATCCAAGTGATTCACGATTGTCGTCGACCAAACGCCCATACCTGTACAATCCGATTAATACGAGAGACTAGGGAAAGGAAATTCAGAAATTACTCACTCCAGCAATAATCGGAACATATACACCTCCATATCTTCATGCCTCAATGTCGTGTGAGCCCAATTGCGCCCAGAATCCGCAATACGCTTGGCCGCTGTCTGCCCTTTTGTATCTTGCTCGAAAAATCGGAGAATCTCGGCGTAGCCGATCGTCTTAAGGCTTAGGGGTACATAATGTACCCAGGGAAAGAGGATATTTTCGTGCCATTCTCTGAAGAATGATAACTTCATAATTACGGCGTAGCTTTGCAGGAAAGCATAAAATCGTCCACTGTAGGCGTTGCCGTCCATATCCAGGAGGTAACGGTACTTCCATGCCTCTGACTGCTTCTCTCGTCGTGCTGTGTCAAAGTACGCATCCTCCTCGTCGCAATCAGTTGTGCTGCATTGCTTTACCTCGGTAAATTTGATATTGAAAAGCTCATTGGACTTGACATGAGCTTCTTTGAGATCCCAACTTTCCTCCCATATATTGCACTCCTCTGGGCCTGGGCGCTTCTGCGAAAGTATCAATTCTGTTGTATTAGAATGAGAATGAGTGAGCTCATCCACCAAATACTGCCGCAGCTGCTGGCGCCATGTCCCTTTATCACTGAATCCACCTGATGTCGCTCCCCTCCAATACAACTGGGTAATGTGTTGGTCCCAATCAACAGCTTTATCTTTGTCAAAATAGATTTGGTCAGTATAATACCACGGAGATGGGTAGAGGATATCCTGGAAAGAAGACAGTTTTGACATTGAAAATACTGGTGTCAATTCTGGTGACAGCTTGCAGGCGTTGGGCTTGTCAAAGAAGCCCAGGCGGTATTGGAGTGATGGGGTTTGACAGATGTCGCTGAAAGCTGTATGGTTAGAAATGAGACCTAGTGAGGCATCACCAAGGATATCTGGGTTGTCTGGTGCGCCTCCATTGAGTTGTCTTGCAGGCGAATCAAGTGGACAAGATAATCGACTAAAAAGCCATGTCTCCTGCATCCCAATGTCGTGAAATCGGGTCCGCGGATTGTTAGCAATGTCTTCATCAAGCTGGCCTGGCGTCTTTGAAAACTGATTCTTCAAGTCCTGCTCATTGAGGAGCAGACGTGACTGCACTTCTCGGCCTAGGGTGACCATCTTGTCCAGACTATCGTGCGGGACTACCACGCGAGGCTCATCATGGATATTAAAAGCGAGATCCATATCCGGCAGCAAGTGAGCAAAAGAAGAAACCATGGCCTGAATTGCTGTAGATTGAAAATTTCCCTGTCCTTCACCGCGGTTGTCCGACTTGCCCTGGCGTATTGATATGCCCACCAGTCGGTTATCGTACCCCAGGTCCTCTCTCGTGCGAGATCGAATAGTTTTCGGCTCGAGGGCCCAAAAGGGAAGCAGATTGTGATAAATTGTATCAAATTCATCTACCAAGACTGTCCCTCGTGCGACAGCAAATTCGTACCATTTGTCAAAGTGCGGCGGCGGCGGCAACCCATATCTTCTTTTATATTCGGCCACTGCTTCCGGCAACGACCGGGACTGGCGTGATTTCACCGCTTCGAAAGAGCGCTGGGCTTCGTCAACCATTCGAAAAACAGGATGGCCACAGTAAAGGTCGGAGTCGGAGTCGGAGTCGGGATCGGAGTCAAGGACGGAACTGGAGTTGGCGTGCAGAGGGGATTCAACGGACACAGTGTACCCCTTCATGAGGCCCACTAAGAGGAGAATCAAAACCACTGCGGTCAGCGCCTTGATGCGGGAACTTCCCAGTTTAGCCCGAATACATGATTTTGGGTTCGCCAGAGGGTCTGTCAGGAATCCGGGGCGAAGGGGAATATTCCGTTGATGCCATGGAAGGCCGGGACCCTGGGTGTCTAAACAAGGGATAAATTTGGCCAAATTTGATTGGACAGTATTTGGCATTATGGAATGCACAAACGTGACAAAAAAGTCTGTAGTAACGACTATGTAACTGTTGGCTGGAAACACATCATAAGAGTCGGGGGGGTGAGATCGGTTTGAAAAAGCAGCGTTTGTTAGGGAGAACCCAGGCTCTGGGATCAAAAAAATTCCGTTTCTCTGTTTACCATTAAATTCCGTTTCTCTGTTTACCATTAAATACTGTATTGTAATAACAGATACCACACATACGAGCCTTGTAGCGTCATGTGCCTGACACCGAATTAGGAACTATGCGGGTACCTGTCCCATTGGTAATAACTTTCTATTCCGATTGGGCACAAAGATAAGATCTGCACATTTGCATATCAAATCAGGAATGACCCATGGTTCATTACTCGACAGTACATGCGGTAAATATCTATGTACGGAGTATGTGTTCAGCTCTCAGAGCCATTTGTGGGAGGTCAAGGACGAAAGATTATGGAATATGTATGTCCAAAGAATTTTATTAGCCTTAAACTACTCTGGATTTTGCAGATTACCAGCCACCGTTATCCGCATGCGGCTGGCGAGCTTCCAGAAGTTGTCCACCTTCACTCACACTGCTTGAATTTGAGATTCTATTCTGAGAGCATATCCATTTAACATGTCAATTTGTCGGCTTCAATCGTCCGATAAATCTTAAGTTGTCGTATTTTGAATGATCCCCACAGTTATCGTTTCACTTGGCCTTGGCCTTGAAATGTATAAGGACTTTGCATTTTGGTGTTCAAATTGTTATATTTACCCGGGATATGTATGTTACTATGCTTTTCTTCCTATTGTTATTCTCTTCATCCGGGCAATTGAAGTCAGGATCACCGCTGCTTCAGATATCTTCCTGTCTTGGTTTAGTTTTATCTGCCTTTCTCATCTCTCGAGCCTCAGTCTCTTTCACCTACCTCTGTATCGATGGTTTTACTCATCCGTTTCTTTTCCTTTCTATGTTTTTACCTTCCTTCAAACGTTTCCTATGTTCGTCACCAAGGTCTAAAAGGAAGAATTGCCGAAGGAGCTGTAATAACTGGGATGAAGCGATACGCCTATGCTCAAGGTGTTTATCAACGACGGACAGACCAAAGGATGATTGAGGCGCCAGGCTAGCCGATCTGTATTGTGATTGACAATGGCTAGCTTAAGCGCTCACTCAAATCGGCAATATACCCGATACATATGCACCATCCATTAGTTCAAGACCCACTGTTCCACATGCTGCTTTTGACATGGATCTTCAAGTTGTGCTGCGCCGCATAACACATGATATCCTGATAAGGCCTTAAAATGCCTATCTGCACTGCCGGCGGCAAAGGATCAGGATTTCAGGAGAGCAAAATACCACTGAGTAGCATGGCCGTGACGAAGTACTTGTCTCTAACGCAGACTACTAAGACACTTAGTCCAAGAAAACCACTCCAGGGCATCATGCGGACTATCTCCCGGAACCACCGTGAAGTACGGCGGACTAAATCCCCTTAACGGCCAAAACTTGTAAATGATGTAAATGACTTAATGCCACCAAAAATTTCCCTATTACGACGTAGTGCATAATATGCATAAAGCAATGTTATTGAGAGACCTGACATGCAATTTCGATGGCTTAATGGCATGCCAATAGGTCAAGTTCTCATCTAAATAAAAAAGCCATTTACAGCTTGTACAACTAGTAGACAGAGCTGCCATTAATGTACCCCTGCAACCGAGAAATTAGAGGAACGAAATATAAACAGGACAAACATAGAAATTCCGTGATATGCATATTTTATGCAAAATCTATCTGTATTTTCAAGTATTTTGCTTACAGATTAGTTTAAATATTCGATAAATACTCAGGTAGATATGATATAAGCAAAGTTTAAATTAAAATGGGTTTTTTTTTTTTTTTTTTTTTTTTTTCATTTGTTAGTCTATTAGATTAATAGCTATCCATACACAAAATCATCATCACGTCTTGAGCGCTTTGGAAGCCGCCCTGATGAGCGCCTCTGAGTACTACTCTTGCCTTGCAGATAGCTATTATCAGGTAGAGGAATCTCATCAGCTTCATCTGATATAGCTTCAGCCCTTCTCTTCGCAAGTGCACGCTCACTAGGAAGTTGGATAACTTGAGATATGGCCCCAGCAGAAGATAGTTCATCCTCATCATCACTAATTGGGTTAAACTCATCTTGTTTTTTCCAAGCATCCTTTTCCTCTGCTGCTTGTGTTTCTTGGGTAGTGAAGTACTCTTCCATCAGGGAAAGCTGCTTGGATTCCATATCAAACTTTGTTGTACACATAAACATCAGCTCCTTGATTGTTTTCGGTTTTAGCAAGCCCCGGCGGTAGTGGCAGATATCCCAAACAGAATTGGATAACCGCTCAACACCAGAACCACTGGCTGGTGTTGTAAGAACATCTCGGGCAACGTTTGCCAGGATGGGATATTCATGTTGATGACCTCTCCAGTACACTCGTGGATTCACAATTTGAGTACCTATAGATGTTAGTATCAGGGAAGGAAGAGGTAGAGGATAAGCTTACCACTTCCAAGATACCGTGAAAGCTCATAATTGGCAGTTGTTTGTGGCTGTAGAGATGCGGCTGATGTCACAAGGATATCTATATCAGAGATACCTTCTGCTGAAGACCGGGCAGTTGATATAGACTGTGTCTCTAAATAGCGCTGCTGGTAAGGTTGAATGTAAGCCTCAAGGGCCTTCCGGTATCGTGACTGCCAGTGTGGCTCCCAGTGTTACGGAGCATGGACGCTTGTGAGATGTATAGCATGTTTGATTACTTTGACCTGTTTGGCGTAGAACATCTACTGGGCATCGCTTAAACCCCTCGCACACACTAAATAGCTCGTCGCCGGCAGGCCTGCCTCTTTCCTTTCCCTCCTCATGTTAGAATTTCGTCAGATAGCCTACCAATAGATTCATATTGCACGAGACCGTCGCACTAGATAGGGTTAGGGCTCAAAGCCAACCTCAACTTCAGGAGGTATGGATCTTCTCTGATAGTCAGGCAGCTCTTCAGGGACTTCAGGGACATGTCAACAGCTCTATGTTTCTGTACATAGTAGAGCTGATCCAGACCATCCTTCAAGACTTCACTATCCAAATCCACATTCACTGGGTAGTCTGGCCAATATATCCTGAGTGAAATTACACGCACTGCATCTCAACTACAGGAATGTGGCTGGGATATATGACTGTATTGGCTCCCAGGTCATGAAGACATCTACAGCAATGAGTGTGCTGATGCTCTTGCAAAAGAAGCTGCTAATTCCCTGGCACCCAATGGTGCGGAAGAGCTCACTCTCATGGCCAGCACTTGAAGAAGCCTCTGCATAGAAGCAACCAGTGCATGGAAGACTGAATGGGCTGCTTCCACCCATGGGAGCTCTCTCCGTCGCTTATGGAAAGAGACTTCAAAAGCATCAATTGTCACGGGCTCGAAATAGAAGATAATAACGAACTGAATTCCTATCTTGACTATTGTAGCCATCAACGAGAATATCGAATCTGGGAAGGAAAAAGGAGAGGAAATCTATCTGGCGAGTGCAGTCTCTATATAAGCCTTTGTGCGATGCGGCTTGAGCCCTTGTTTGTCCATATTGCTTGTATGGCATCTTTTGGCATGTTGGCAATGTTTGTCTGGTCGTTGAGCCGTCACATCAATACAACTATACCAAGGCCTTCAGAGAGCCGCTACATCAGTTCTCATTCAAATGCAAACTGGAAAGATTGTGCTGGCCAGCTATCTTGGTACCTTTAAGGCTATGGAATCGACTGAATGCTCTTGCAGACATGGCCTCCAAGATACACACCATGTTCTACTCCACTGTACAAACCAGGCAAGACCCCAGATGTGCCATCTTACACAGGGGTCAAGGCAGGAGCTGGATTACCGGGCCTACCTTACACGGTTCATGCTTGAGACAGGCCTTTTGGGCCAGTTTCAGGCTCTACCAACCGCATACCGAGTCACAGCAACGGACATGAAGCAACCGGCAGTATAGCACAGCCAAGGTTATGCGCTTGCAGAAATAAGGACGGAAACAAGATCGGCCGCCCCGCAGGACCTGCCGCCACTCGGCCTGCAAGGCCGACAGATGCGTGTATGAACAATAATAATAATAATAATAATATACGTTAATCATTATCACATCCAAAAAGATCCGGCAACAGCTTTGCGATGAAAAGTGGCTGAATACATGTCTCTCGCGGTGAGTCTGTGCATTGAAGTATGAGTTTTTGAATTTAGGGCCACTAATAGCAGAAAGCAGAGGACGCCACTTTGAGGCGGCTCATGGAGTTCAAACTTTGCTGTGCTCGTAAAACAAGAAAACTACCAGATAATCCGCTCTATCAGGTAAGCTGGTAATATGTATGTTCCTATAGGTACCTGTTTTTCTAGACTTTCCTCTTATGGACGCCGCTTTGATGAGGGCTCTCAGGGTAGGTACGAGCTTCGCACTGGTTAAGATAGCATTCATCGCTAGTGACAGCTTTCCAATTGGTATGAAATGCCGCCCTTAAATGGCTGAAAATTGGCCAATCACAATTTTCAGGAGGACATCCTCATATACTCTGTATATACCATATACCATCCACTGATCCATCCAATGATTTGTAGGGGCCAATAATAGCCTTGGTAACCTTTTGACTGATGTTACAAAACAATCGTTTGTTTCATTTTAGAATATGGGCTTCCTATATTTCTCCCTGCCGGGCATTGGATTGCCTCTCTTCCTCAGCCAAAATACTCGCGGCTTCCTCACTGCCGTTTTCCAAGGCATACTGGGCAGGTGTAAGTCCCGTCTCAGTAACCTTCAACGGATCAGCACCTTTTTCCAGCAGGAATGGGATCATATGATGGCGGTTCCATAAGGCAGCAGAATGCAGTACAGTCCCTGGATCTGTACGAGGCCTTCCTCTGTGGCTTATACCAAAGCTGTTGGAGTCATTAATACCACAACCATGATCAAGAAGTGTCTCTATCACAGTCTGCCAGTGTTCATCATCTCTCATGATCGCGTATTTCAGAGCAATGCTTCTGGTTGGATCAGCACCCCATTCAAGTAACAGTTTGATGGTGTCCAGAGAGGCGTCCCTGGCAGCAATGCTGATTGGGACACAATAGATGGGTGTTCTTGGATTTGGATCTGCTCCGTGATCAAGCAGCCATTGAACTACTCCTTCATTCTTGACGGAATCACTGCAGGCTTAATCAGTATACCTGGAAAGGAAAGGGAAGGAAAGTAGATTCTTTCACCTCAAGATTGTAAAACGCCATGGTGACTTTTGATTGAGATCCCACCCATGTCGGTACAAAGTTTCAAGGATCTCCAGTCTCTTGTTCTCTGGTACCGCATCACTGACAGCATCATAGCTCAGTGTATAAGTTATTTGGACTCCTTCCTCCAAGAAGTACTTCACCAATGGTACGTCTCCACGGTGAAATGCTGCCACCAATGATTCATAGAAACAAAGAGAATCCAGGTCTGGCTCCAAGGCCGACTCTTCTGCACGCCAGCCATCCATAATTGACCTTGTTTGGTCCAAGCCTTCTGCCTTGAGTAGACGCTGCTCCCACGCCTCGCTGCTCACTCTGCACGCGCTTTCATCGTCTGACTGTAGGGGAGATCCGGGCATGATGGTGAAGTCGTATTGATTGTTGATGGTTAGAGAGAGTATTGAATCTGTTTAAATCCAATCCATAATCATGATCGGTGGCCTAAGGCTGACAGTGAGGCGTTCTGGTGATGGTAAACAAAGTAGCAGTGATGCTGATCATACTGTAGTTGGATTTGAAGTGGATTCCGGGGGCTCGTATGTCCGGATCCGTACTCGGAGGTCGCCTACTCAGGGGAATAAGGCGAGGGAGTCAAAGGACCAATTAGACGAGGCTATATAACGGAATAAAACAAACAATTGCAGCATTCCATGATTGGACCTCAGATGGTGATGAGGCTGTAGTGTTCCATCCTCTGACATGATGATCATCCTTTGAGGACTGGTAGCAAACCTTGATTGCAAGCTGCGCCACCAACTTCACCTCCTGGCATGCACCAGACCAAGAATCGATTGGCATTGAGGGACCAGTTGGAGATGTAGATGCTGTCATTGCATGACCGACATCACTGAATGCTGAGAACAGCTGGGGCACTATGCAGCTTTGCCTCGTCCGTACTGGACATGGGCCCGTCAGATGCAGTGGCATTGCCTCATAGCTGAGACAGGCCGTGCATGGGACATGGAAGACACAGGCATTCTTTGTCCAATTGACAAAATTCGGCCTGCAATTTTTCTCGAGCCGCCAGGAGCGCTGCATGGACACTTCTGTCTTGTGCTTAAAATAACTTTCTATGGGTAGCCAATTGCGAATGCCTTCCTCGTGCCAGTCTTTGGGAATTCAATGCATTCATTGACCATTTTGGGCAGGATGCATATCACTGAGACACCCAGTCAGCCTAGACAATGAAAGAAAAGAGGCACAGCTGAGTGCTACTATGATTCTAGACAGAAGTCCAGAATTTGGAATCTGGGCTTTCACAGAACACTGGTCACCAACAATTGATGAGGCATTTTTGCCATTGGATATTCAAACAACAAAAGCAATCATTGAGCAACCCAGCCTTGCACAGGAGGCAATTTGGGGGCAGGACAAGATAGATTTCTGACAATTGGAAAACAACTGGCATCTAGTGACAGTCAGCAGATTGCACTGTTGTTAATTTTCTATAGACATAGGAATGGAGGTACTAAGGCTAAGGAATGTAATTCAGTATAAGTTAATCAAGACCAGGAAGCTGTATCAACCATGTCAAGAGACCGCCAGTCTGCTCTCCAAAGGTTGAGAGAGGTGACAGTAATGAAGGCAAAGATGGAGACTGATGCTCAGCCGCAGTTTGCGACCCAAAAAAAAGGGGGGGGGGGGGGGGTCAGCGAGCGCACGCAGGCGATCGGGTGGGTGTAGAATAAAGAGGGGGAGGAGAAGAAAAGTTGAAGAAATTGGAGGGATGGAGTGATAGAACAGCGAGAGGTCGGTTTTTATATTCTCTGAGGCGGGCGGTGTTTACAGTACAGCGTATTGGGACACCATACCCGAAATGGCAAACCTAACAGAAACAGTAATTCACAGGTCCTAATTATTATTATTTAATCAAGTTTATTGTCCATACCGAGCCCTAGAGCTATGACAGACCATTATCCGTGGACTTGAGGCCGTTAGCTATTCTACAGTCTCTTATCCCTATAAGTTCCTGGGGCACTAGCCCCCTTCCATACTCTTTCTGATCCTTTTCCTCGCCCCAGACCGCCTGTTTGCGCAGGGCTTTCGAGCACAGTGCTCTCCTTGTGTTTCGTGCGGAATGGGTGCGGCCTAGGCTGACTCCAGCTTAGGCTACCCTTCCTGCTATCCTTCTCCTGTTCGAATTGCCTCCTCCAATGCTTCCAATCCCCATTCATCGTCCCTT